AAGCAATTATGGAGCTGGGTCAAGGGGCTGTGGCAGATATCCTTATCTCCCATAGCAAAGTGAGCTAAAAGGAGGTACTACATCCCCTCTAAGGGATCTAGAGTATTTGTACCCTCCTCCAGCTTCTTTGATGGCGGCGGCTGTTAACAAATGGGAAAGATAAAGGACACCAAGCATCATTGCTGAAAGGCAAAGAGGCTAGACTTGTTTGGATGCAAACTTTATTCTGCAGGGAGTTTGCAGTTTAGGATTACGAAGTAATAGGCACTCCTGAGCCACTATGACTTTACCTTCTGGGAGAACTTTGTAAAATTTAAAGACAAACTACCAGAGGACTGCAGGCAGGAGTTTGCAGTAATGGTGGTTGCCATAACTGCTCTCCGGGACAGTTACAGTCATCTGGGCTTCCCCAAGAAGTCCAGCAGACCATCTAGGACTTCCCTTTTGAAGGTCCCTCTGTGTTTTTGGATAAGATGGACAATAGGCTCCAGAGCCTAAAAGTTTCCAGGGCAACATTACAATCTCTTGGAATCTGTACTCCAGCAACAAAGAGGAAGCAGTTCCGTCCTCAACATCCATACAGACATCAGGACTTTCCTCCCTGGTTTCAAAATCCACTGAGGAGAAAGGGAAGGAGTTATAGGGGACGACATCTGCTGCCCTCCTCTTCAGCCTCCGTGGGCTCATCCCATCCAGCCGCCTCATCCAAACAGACATTTTGATGTGTTACTTAAGGGCAATGTATCAGTTACTGTAGTTCCATCTGTTTCCCACCTTGTGTATACAAATTGCTTATTCCACTTCCTATCTGGGCCCAGGCACTTAACATTGGATTGGTGGGTTTTAAGCACAGTGGAACTAGGATATGCCCTCCAGTTCATTTCTACCACTCTTTCCCCTCTCCCTTCCCCATCTCTCTTCAGGGACAACTGTCACAGAATTGTTCTTCAGCAGGAGGTCCCATCACTACTTCAGGTAAAGGCAATAGAGGAAGTCCCATTGTGCCTTAGGGAGAAAGGTGTCTATTCCCACTACTTTCTGATTCCCCAAAGCAAAAGGAGGTCTCAGGCCTATTGTAGATCTAAGAGAGTTGAACAAAATAAAATTCTGCATGGTTACCCTAGTCTTGTTTATTCCCTCCCTGGAAGAGGGGAACTGCTATGCTGCCCTTGACTTCAAGGACACTTACTTCCATGTTGCAGTATGGCACAACCATTGGATGTTTCTCAGATTTGTGGTAAATAGGGCCTAATATCAGTTCAGTGCTCTCATTTGATCTCTATCTTTCCTTGGATGTTCATAAAATGTATGGCAATGGCGGCAGCAAATATATGAAAATCAGGAGTCCATATGTTCCCTTACGTGGACAACTGGTTGATCAGAGGTCAGGACTTCTCCCTCCCCTTCACCTCCGAGTCCAACACTAGGCTCAGGTGTTATCTAGTGTATCTACAGTTCTGTCCACATTCGATGCACTGGGGCTCCTAGTAAATTAGAACAATTCAATTCTAAAACCTGTACAGAGGAAAGAGTTTATTGGAGCTCTTAGACTCCACAAAGGCCATGTCCTTGCTGCCATAATCGTGGTTCAAAGCAGTATGGGGCTTGGTGTTGCAGCTGAAAGCTCTCACCACGGCATGCAGCTGCCTCAATCTTGTGGGTTACATGGCAGTGTGTACATATGTGGTTCAACATGCCAAGCAGCAGGCATGGCAAGCGTTGGTACATGCCCCAAGTCGTCATTTGGACAATGTGGTTTGAGTGTCAACGTCAGTTTTGTCATTTTTTGGATTGGTGGCTGGACCTCTGAAAGTCTGAGGGTGGGGGCCTTTATCCCATGGCTACCACTTAAACCTCACTTTAATCACAGACTCCATCAGCGCTGGGTTTGGGGACCCATATGGGGTCCCTGCAGCATCAAGGTCTCTGGTTGCCTCAGGATCTAATGGCTCATATAAATGTTTGGGAGTTAAGAGCTGTACAACTAGGCTGTTAAGCTTTCCTCCTACATACAGTAGGGAAGAACTTGTTAATTCTAACAGACAGCTCTGCGACAATGTCTTACATAAACAGAGCTGTGTAAACTATACTCCTCCCTATGCCAGGAGGCAGATTGTCTCTGGGATCCTTGCATAACCAATTCAATTCATCTCAGGGCTGATTACCTTCGAGGGAAGCAGAACATGTTGGCAGGTCGACTGAGCAGGACCTTCTCTGATCACCGCGAGCAGTTTTTACGCCCAGACGTAATCAGATCCATCTTCCAGTTCTGGAGAATTCTCCAGGTGGACCTGTTTGCAACAGAGTCCAACAGAAAATGCCATTGTTTTTGTTGCTGGGAAGTTGTCAGCCCAGGCTCATTGACAGATACTTTTCTGCTACCCTGGAAGGACCTCCTCCTGTATGATTTCCCTCCAATTCCCTTGCTGCCCAGGGTCTTGTTCAAAGTCAAACAAGACCATGCTCATCTCATCCTTATAGCACTGGCTTGCTCTTGTCAACACTGTTATTTGACCCTGCTGACCTTGTCAGTCAACCCTCCACTGTTCTGCTGGATCCAGACTTGCTTTCTCAGGATTACGGTTACATGCTCCATCCCAACCTGTGAGACTTCCACCTGATTGTGTGGATGGTTAGTGGTTAACGCCTTTGGAGAGATCTTGTTCTAAGGATATCCTGGAAGTGCTTCTGAATTGTGGAAAACCCTCAAATAGGGGCACTTACATGCATAAATGGAAGCGCTTTTCCATTTGGTCCCAGAAGAAAGGCATGTACCTCTGAGCCTCGTACTTAACTATCTTCTATACCTAAAACATCAAAGTTTGGCAGTTAGCTCTATAACAGGACATCGGGCAGCTAATCTATACCTTCCAGAGCTTGGTGGATAGTAGATTCCTTTTCTCCAATGCCATCACTACCAGTTTCCTAAAGGGCTTGATCAGATTGTACCCACATGTGCAAGATCCTATACCCCATGGGATTTGAACTTCGTCCTAGCAAAGGTAATGGGACCACCTTTTGAACCCCTTGCAACTTGCTCTTTGCTCCAGCTCTCCATAGAGGTAGCATTTTTAGTTGCCATTACCTCAGCAGAAGGGTGGGCAAGTTGAGAGCCCTAGTGTCAGAGCCTCCTGTCATAAGGATAAAATTTATCTGCCCCCACCCAAAATTTCTCATGAAGATAGTCTCTAATTTTCATGTTAACTAGGAAATCTGTTTGTCAGCGTTCTTCCTGAAATCTTATGTGCATAGAGGTGAGAGGAGACTTCATTGGATGTGAGAAGGGCTTTAGTTTTCTACCTTGAGTGTACTATAGATCTTCCACACAGTTATTTGTTGCAGTTATGGACTGGGCTAAGGGCCAACCAGTTTCCACTCAGAGAATCTCATCTTCGACCTCCTTGTGCATTTGTTTATACTACCAGTTGGCTAATATAGTCCGCCCCCCCCCCAGTTAGAGTATTGGTGCATTCTACTGGAGCACAGGCAACTTCAGCGGCTTTCTTGGCACGAGTACTGATCATAGTAATTTGTAAAGCAATGTCCTGGTCATCAGTCCATACTTCTTTCTTCTCATTATGCCATTTCCTGTCCGTCCAGGGCCAATGCTAATTTCAGGCGAGTTGTCCCATAATCACTGTTCAGGTAGATTCTGAGCCCACCTCCATGTTTGTCTGCTTGTGAGTCACCTACAGTGGAATGGACATGTACAAGCACTCAAATTTAAAAACTGTTACCTATCTTTCTGTAACTGATATTCTCGGAGATGTGTTGCACATGTCCATTCCACAACCTGTCGTCGTCGTCCTCTCTATCAGAGTCTACCTGGTACACCGGAACTGAGGAGGGTCGGGGTGGCTCTTCTTACACGAGCATGCAGTGACATGTGGTAACAGAGGGTGCTTGAGCTGCCCCGACAGGTACTGCTGAGGGGAAAAGTTCTCAGACAACTGCAAGGTGCGAACATGTGGAATGGACATATGTAGGACATCTTGAAGAACAACAGTAGTAGGAATGTAGGTAACCAGTTTTTACAGAAAGTAGCTGCTTCTATGGTTGCTCCTGTGTAGAGGAGAAAGGGAGAGTTGGTTGCCAGAGTGAGGTACAACTGAATGCCATAGCATATAAATCCTTTCATAATCTAGCCCTGAATACTTGATCATGTCCTCTTTGGCAGTTGAATTGGTTTTCTTTGTTCTATGTTCAGGCAGAGCTTTCTTGCTCATAAGCCATAAATTGTGGAATTTGTTCCTGGAGTTGTTCTACCATAGTTGCTTCTTAACTGCTTCTACAGGATTTGTTGCAAGTTCCATTTATTTTGGTCTTTGTTCTTGACTGTTTCTAGGCTTTTCTCCTTTTGTTTTATTTTCATCTATCTCTTCCCCTGTCCTGATCTTTGCTGCATTAGAGGATTTACCTTTTGGTAGGAAGAAGAACAGGAGGACTTGTGGCACCTTAGAGACTAACAAATTTATTAGAGCATAAGCTTTCGTGGACTACAGCCCACTTCTTCGGATGCATACTTCTTCTTTTTGCGGATACAGACTAACACGGCTGCTACTCTGAAACTTTTGGTAGGAGTGGTTTGCCCGATGGTTTAGGTTTGCCCTTGTGCTAGAGTTCAGGGGTGGGGAGGAAGTGTATGTGTGGCTTAGCTTTTCTCTATATAGTTTTTTTTTTAATGTCTTTGTTTGTTTTTCGTATGTGGTGCTTGTGATACCTAATAGGTGCCTTTTTACGCAATGATTATTTTAACATAGTTAAATCTTTGCTCAAAAGATATATAACACATTGATCAGCTAATCAAGATAACTGAAGCATTGATGTGTCAAAAAGTAAGCAAAGGCATCAACTGTAAAATAATAAAAACAGTTAAAATCATCCCATTACATATTCCTTCTCCCTAACCCAGTTTAGTTATGTTTGTGTATCTCTAAAGTACTTTTTAAATAACAACTTTCAGTAAGATGCATTAATCTTTTTGTTTTTTTTCTTTTTAGACAAACTATGAAAACAGAATATACAGTCTGAAAGTAGAGTGTGGACCTAAATATCCAGAAGCACCTCCAACAGTTAGATTTGTAACTAAAATCAATATGAATGGAATAAATAATTCCAATGGAATGGTAAGTTCAAATGGTAAAACTAACCTCCTTGTTAATCTGTACTCTGCAATTATTTATAGTAAAAATTCCATTAAGCATTATGGGTGGGTGGGAAAGAGCCTTCATAGTTAAATTGTACATTATAAACGATCATTTGTTTATACAAATAGTTTAATTTGTGATTATTTTGCTTGCAAACAGTATGCAGGTATAAATTGAAGCTGTTCTTTTTAAGTTGAGTAAAACAGCTTTGTGTTTAAGCAGCTCCTTTACAGTGTTCCTCTTCAATGACGCTTGAGTTTACCGAAGAATATGGAATGCTGTACTGCTCAAGACTTTTGATATCTACCTTACTTAACCACTAAGGATCATTTAAATCTCTGAACGGTTTTGGCTAGTGCTTTCAGCTAATGCAAGTCATTAATTATAAATGACTTTTGTTACTCTTGACATTTTAAATTTGGGGAGTACTGAGAATGAAATTGCAGTCTTTAAATATGTTCTTATTTGCTAGCTAAGAGACTCCAGATGACGTTCCAAACTTAACATGCAGTTTTGTTTTGAAAATTGGGGGCCTCTCAATAAATTCCATATCAAATGTGCATGGGTTACAAGTGAAGTGGTTTGTGAAAGACTAACGCAATCCCTTTGACAAATTGATAATCCAGTAGAAACCTTGAAACTGACTATACAAAGTGCTATCAGAGTAAAATAAAAAAAATACCATTTTTTTCTTGTTTATATCATAGGTATTATTTGTAGGAGAAAATATTTCATATAGAAGGGTGTTTTTTTTTCTCTTTGTTGACAGTGTCCTTTTATTGTCCTTGGTCACAGAGTCGTGACCATCTATGTTTATACAAACTAATACCACACTTCTGCAACTGGATTAGCACTGATAGTTCCCAATACCATTGCATTGCCCACTGATGTCAATGACTTGCCTGTGCAGGGCTAGTGCCTAAATAGGAGTTGGGTTTAGTAAACTCAACTGTTTTTGTTGAACAAAATTACAAACAACAACAAAATTAAGAGGTCTTCCTGGTGAACTGCAAAATTGCTGCAATGCCTATGTGGGACTGTAAATAGTAGACTATAGAACCCACTAGCAAGCTTGAAGGTTGCCCTGCCTGATCGTCACTTTTTCAGGTATAGTAACTCATCTCTAATAGGCTTCAGAGTGGTAGCTGTGTTAGTCTGTATCAGCAAAAAGAACAAGGAGTACTTGTGGCACCTTCGAGACTAACAAATGTATTTGGGCATAAGCTTTCGTAGGCTAAAACCCACTTCATCAGATGCATGCAGTGGAAAATACAGTAGGAAGATATATACATACACACAGAGAACATGAAAAAATGGGGATTGCCATACCAACTCTAACGAGACTACTCAATTAAGGTGGGCTATTATCAGCAGGAGAAAAAAAACTTTTGTAGTGATAATCAGGGTGGCCCATTTCAAACAGTTGACAAGAAGGTGAGAATAACAGTAGGGGGAAAATTAGCATGGAGAAATTAGTTTTTAGTTTGTGTAATGACCCATCCACTCCCAGTCTTTATTTAAGCCTAATTTAATGGTGTCCAGTTTGCAAATTAATTCCAGTTCTGCAGTTTCTCGTTGGAGTCTGTTTTTGAAGTTTTTTTTTTGTTGAAGAATTGCAACTTTTAGGTCTGTAATTGAGTGTCCAGGGAAGTTGAAGTGTTCTCTGACTGGTTTTCGAATGTTATAATTCTTGATGAATTTAAAGTCCTGTGAGCAGTGCTGCCCGGCTAAGACAGACTAGTCCCTACCTGTTCTGACACTGGAAGCGGCCAGCAGCAGGTCTGGCTCCTAGGTGGTGCCTGTGGGCCAGAGCCTCTGCCTAGGAGCCAGACCTGCTCCTGGCCGCTTCCGGGGCACAGCGCGATCCACAGTGCCAGGACAGACAGGAAGCCTGCCTTAGCACCCCCGCTGCACCGCTGACCGAGAGCAGCCCACGCCCTAATCCCCTGCCCCAGCCTTGAGCCCTCCCCAAACATGGACCCCCCTCCTGCACGCCCAAACCCCTCATCCCTGGCCCCACCCCGCAGCCCTCACCCCTGCACCTCAACCCTCTGCCCCAGCCTTGAGTCCCTCCCACACCCCAAAACCCTCATCCCCAGCTCCATTGGGTCGCGGGCATCAACAATCTTCAACTGCGTCGCCAGAAAAAAAGGTTGAAAACCATAGAAACCTTCCTCATAGCCCCACTTAGTCATCTCTTTTCCTAGCTGAACAGCCCCAATTTTTTTAATCTTCTCATATGGAAGTTGTTTCATGCCCCTAATCATTTTTGTTGCCCTTGCCTGTACCTTTTTCCATTTTAATATATCTGTTTTGAGATGGGGTGACCAGAACTACACGTAGTATTCAAAGTGTGGGCGTACCATAGATTTATATGATTATGATATTAATTGTCCTATTACCTTTCCCTTTTCTAATGGTTCCTAACATTGTTAGCTTTTTTTTTGACGGCTGCTGCATCTTGAGCAGATGTTTTCAGAGAACTATCCACAATGACTCCAAGATCTTTCTTGAGTGGTAACAGCGAATTCAGACCCCCTCATTTTGTATGTGTAGTTGAGATTGTTTGTTTTCCAATGTGCATTACTTTGCATTTATCAACATTGAATTTCATGTGCCATTTTGTTGCCCAGTCACCCAGTTTTGTGAAATCCCTTTAACTCTTTGCAATCTCCTTTGGACTTAATTATCTTGAATAATTTTATATAATCGGCAAACTTTGCCACCTCTCTGTTTCCGCCTTTTCCTGATCACTTTTGAACATGTAGAACAGCACTGGTCCCAGTATATACCCTTGGGAGATCACGCTATTTATCACTCTCCACTGTGAAAACTGACCTTTTATTCCTGCTACGGCTGTCAACCGATTAAAAAGAGTAATCACGCTATTAAAAAGAGTAATGGAATACCATTTATTTATATTTTTGGATGTTTTCTACATTTTCAAATGTATTGATTTCAATTACAACACAGAATACTAGTGTACAGTGCTCACTTTGCAAATATTTGTAATCAAAAATAAATATACTGTAAAAACCAAAAGAAATAGCATTTTTCAAGTCACCTAATACAAGTACTGTAGTGCAAACTCTTTATCATGAAAGTTGAACTTACAAACATAGAATTATATACAAAAAAAACCTGCGGTCAAAAATAAAGCAATGTAAAACTTTAGAGCCTACAAGTCCACTCAGTCCTGTTTCTTGTTCAGCCAATCACTCAGACTAACAAGTTTGTTTACATTTGCAGGAGATAAAGCTGCCCGCTTGTTCACAATATCACCTCAAAGTGAGAACAGGTGGTTGCATGGCACTACTGTAGCCGGCGTTGCAAGATACGTACATGTCAGATGCACTAAAGATTCATATGTCCCTTCCTGCTTCAACCACCATTCCAGAGGACATGCATCCATGCTGATGACGGGTTCTGCTCGATAAGAATCCAAAGCAGGGCAGACCAACACATGTTCATTTTCATTATCTGAGTCACATGCTACCAGAACAAAGTTAATTTTCTTTTTTGGTGGCTCGGGTTCTGTAGTTTACGCATTGGAGTGTTGCTCTTTTAAGACTTCTAAAAGCATGTTTTACACCTTATCCCTCTCACATTTTGAAAGGCACTTCAGATTCTTAAACCTTAGGTCGAGTGCTGTAGCTATCTTTAGAAATCTCCCATTGGTACCTTCTTTGTGTTTTGTGAAATCTGAAGTGAAAGTGTTCTTAAAATGAACAATATGTGCTGAGTCATTCTCTGAGACTACTATAACATGAAATATATGGCAGAATGCAGGTAAAATAGAGCCAGAGACATACAGTTCTCCCCCAAGGAGTTCAGTCACAAATTTAATTAACACATTCTTTTTTTAACGTGCATTGTCAGCATGGAAGCATGTCAACTGGAATGGTGGCCGAAGCATGAAGGAGCATATGAATGTTTAGCATATTGGGCACGTAAATACCTTACAATGCTGGCTACAAAAGCCCCATGCGAATGCCTGTTCTTATTTTCTGGTCACATTTTAAATAAGAAGTGGGCAGCATTATCATCCGTAAATGTAAATAAACTTTTGTCTTAGTGATTGGCTGAAGAGAAGTAGGACTTGTAGGCTCTAAAGTTTTGCATTGTTTTGTTTTTGAGTGCAGCTATGTAACAAAAAAAAATCTACATTTGTAAGTTGCACTTTCATGATAAAGAGATTGCACTACAGTACTTGTATGAGGTGAATTGAAAAATACTGTTTCTTTTACCATTTTTACAATGCAAATATTTATAATCCAAAATAATATAAAGTGAGCAGTGTACACTTTGTATTCTGTGATGTAATTGAAATCCATGTATTTGAAAATGTAGTAAAACATCCAAAATCGCAATTAATTTGGTAATGACCATTAATTTTTTTGAGTTAATTGTGTGAAGTAACTGCGATTAATCGACAGCCATAATTCCTACCCTTTGTTTGCTATCTTCTTAACCAATTACTGATCCATGAGAGGACCTTCCCTTTTATCCCCTGACTCCTTACTTTGCTTAGAGCCTTTGATGAAGGAGTTTGTCAAAGGCTGTCTGAAAGTCCAAGTACACTATATCCGCTGGATCATCCTTAGGTTTAGCGGCCTGTAATTGCCAGGATAGCCTCTGGAGCCTTTTTTAAAAATTGGCATTACATTAGCTATCTTCCAGTCATCTGGTACAGAGGCTAATTTTAAGTGATAGGTTACATACCGCAGTTAGTAGTTCTGCAATTTCATATTTGAGTTCCTTCAAAACTCTTGGGTGAATCCTGGAAACTTATAGCAGAACCTCAGAGTTACGTACACCAGAGCTACGAAGTGACTAGTAAACCCCACACCTCATTTGGAACCAGAAGTAATCAATCAGTCAGCAGCAGAGACCTCTTTTCTCTCTCTCTCTCCTTGCTCCCCCTCCACCTCCCCCCCCCAATCAAATACAGTACAGTATTGTTTTTTTAGTAGTTTACT